GCACAAATTTTACAACAATATGACTTTTAGCATTTCCTTCTATCCCCTTATCCAATGTCAGAGTTGTTTTAGCTAACTTGGTCCCTAACAACACAAAGTCCTTACTCTCCTAGTTTCAGGTATTCTCCTCAGTTTTAGGTTATAGCCACCTAATGTTGATGTCTAACATGATTTCACCCAATCAGAGCTTTCCCTGGACATCATTCAGGACAAATGTCCAAGAGAGGCTGCTTACACTCTATCACCCGAAATAGTGTTCCCTTAGGAACATGCTGCTGCTTTTTTAATAAGAAGGCTTTACATTTGAGGCACCCTGAGAATTCATCCCTTTTTCCTCTGGGAAGAGATCAGAAGGACCACAGGGATTTCCCTTCACAATAAACAGGAGAACATGCTAAGGGTCTGACTATACATATTGGACACAATCAGATAGCCTGGGAAATTACGCTTCCAAATATTCAATAGTTACAAGTCTTTTTATTTTCTTTAATGGATATCTCATAAGCAGTTGTATGACAACTGCAAAAATACCAAATTTATCACAAATACGTTTTCAGCTCAATGGAAGTATATTTTCATAGCGCTCATTACCTTGAATGCATATTAACCATGTGCCTGCCAAATGTTATCCAATTTTTTCTTCAGTCCATTTTCATCAGGGAAAAGATCACACAGTGCACCACGCCCTTCTCATTAACTGAAGTCAGAAAGGAATACTGGCTGAAACCAAAGGGAAGATAGCACTGCTTTTTATAAGACTTGTTCTGCTGTTCTCACTAGATATAAATGCCATCAAATCAGTGACTTTTCTTCAATGGGGAATTGCCCAACACCCAGCCTTATTGCAGTAATAATAATTAATCATAATTACAAGTATCTATTGAGCCCACCCTTCCAATTAGCATGGCATATATAAGTGCCACACATCATCTCATTTAGTCCTTACAACAACCTACAGCTAAAGAAGAAAACTATAGCTCAAGGAGTTAAGAATATATCCATACAATGGAATGTTACTCAGCCACAAAAGGGAATCAAGTATGGATACTTACTACAAAATGGATGACTCTTGAAAACATTATGCAAAGTGAAAGAAATCAGACACATAAGACCACATGTTTTATACTTCCATTTATATAAAATATCCAGAATAGGCAAATGCATACAGTCAAAGAGTATATTAGTGGTTGCCAGGGGATAGAGATGGAGGTGTGGGGAATGACTGCTAACGGGGACAGGGCTTCTTTTAAGGGTGATGATAATGTTCTAGAATTAGGTAGTAGTGCTGGTACAAAACTTTGTGAATGTACTAAAACTACTGGATTGTACACTTTAAAAGGGTAAATTTTGTGGGTTGTGAATTACATCTCAATAAAGTTGTTATTTAAAAAAGAAGTTAAGAAACTTGTCCAAGGTCAGATAACTAATAAATGGCAGACCTGGATTCAAATCTGGTCTGTTTGACTCCAGAACCTATGCTTTTAGTCTTAGCCATTTTACAGCTCTGATTATGGTTATTCCCAATAAATATTTGCTGAAGACACCAGCGAATTTGACTATAAGTAATATAGGCTGTATATTACTTATACAGTGCTTTTTTCTGTTGTACACAGGGTCACTATGGGTCAGAGCCGACTCAACGGCACCTAACAACAACATTATGGGCTGTGGTATAATTCTCATCAACCATATGGAGGAGACAATCCTTAGATCCCCTGGGACTTCCAAGGACTGATACACATTAAAAAACTATTGACCTAGTAATCTTTTTTAAACCTTCTGTAACCTGGAGCAATGATTGATCTAGAGGGAAAACAAAACAAAATTTAAGAAGGAGAATATTCTGACAAGAATGTGACTAAAGGTCCTCTGAGGACACAAGTAGGACCCTTTGGGACAAATAAAATATAAATCTGATCAC